CGATAGTGCAGGAGGAGACTGGAGCTGCTCTGAAACCCTTTCCTGCATTTATCACACTCGTAGGGCCTCTCCCCAGTGTGGATTACCCTGTGCCTGATGAGGTGGGAGTTCTGCCTGAATCCCTTCCCGCAGTCGGGGCAGCAGAAGGGCCTCTCCTCTGTGTGACTCTGATAGTGCTGGAAGAGACTGGAGCTGGTCTGAAACCCCTTCTCACACTTGGAACACTCGTAGGGCCTCTCCCCAGTGTGGATCCTCTGGTGCCTGATCAGGTTGTAGCTCAGGCTGAAGCTCATCCCACACTCGGAACACTCAAAAGGCCTCTCCCCAGTGTGGATCCTCTGATGATTGATCAGGGTGGACCTCTCGCTGAAGCTCATCCCACACTCCCCACACTCGTAGGGCCTCTCGCCAGTGTGGATTCTCTGGTGCACGAAGCTGCACCTGAAGCTCTTCCCACACTCCTTGCACTTGTGGGGCTTCTCCCCATCAGGAACCTGCTCATGGACCACCAGCTCTGAGCTCTGGCTCCATCTCCGGCCGCCTTCCCGGCCCAGGCTGGCTCTTTCCCCCTCAGATCCCCGCCATCTGCGTTTGCAGCCCCTCCTCGTGCGGCATCTCCGGGGCTTTTCCTCCCCGTTGGGTTCCTGCGCCGTGGAGCCGCTCAAAACGGCCTCTGCCACCAGGTTCTGCCGCGGGGATTTGTCCTCCCTGCTCTCCATGCTCAGCTCCTGCTCTGGGGGAGGAAGGACAAGGACAGGATGGCATTTGCCTCCGGGCCACAGGCAAGGCCAAGGAGATGCCCCCAGGCTGTGCTGCCCTTTTATTCTCCACCATCAGTCTCATTAATGGTCATGACAACGGGCAGATGCCAGCAGCTCCCATCACAGGCAGCAGACAAGGAATGTAATGTTAAAATTTACTTTAAAAGAGTTTTGCCCAAACACAGAAAGCAAAAGCACCCTGACAGCAGTTCTATCCAAGCACTATAAGCACACGTACCTCCAGTTCAAACAATGCTTATTACAAATACAATACCTACTTGTAAACCTTAAAACACAATACACAGAGCTCCATAATGAAGCTTCAAACTTCCTAATATCTTCCTAGTTATACTTTTCTGCAGATTAGGGAATTATTCTCGATGAACGTTAATACACTCACCATTGTTCTATTTCCCCTTACTGGCTACTTTTTATAGAATATTTCTGCTGACCAATCTTACGGCTGCTGCACAGCTGAAATCACAATTCTACTGTCTCTGAGGCTTCTCTTTTGGTGCTTTCCCCTCTGATTATAAGGATTCCCCAGAGGCACTGATTTCCTCCTCACCCGCCTGCATGTCCAG